TTTTCTTCAAGGTTTTCTAGAGTGCGTCATGATTTATCATGGGAAGCGAAGACTGAGAAGAGGACGGTAGCAGCTGTTCGCAAGTGGACTGCTGTTATCATGAGGTGCCCGCAAGAGTTTGATGTGGGCCGCAGGGTAACTCCAACTACGGCTGCACCGGTGGGAGTGCAGGTGTCACGTTCTCTGCGTCATGTATTCGCGGGCAGGTCTGCTGGGACTTTACACAGCCGAGCGGACCCTCTTATCAGGTACATTGCTTGGGCCGACAGGCAGGTCATCGCGGCGTTTCCTTTTTCAGAAGAAAACCTATGTGCTTTTGCTTGTGAATGCGAGGGCAAATGTGCACCCAGCTTCCTCAAGAGCTTGATGAGCAGTATCAGTTTTTGCTTTCACATCCTCGGAGCCGGCAGTGCTCAGGAGGCCACGAACAGCAAGCGCTTGGTGGGGGTGGCAAAGGCTTGTTATCTCACCAAGCGAAAGAGGTTTCAGCGGCCCCCGCTTACCACGGAGATGGTGCTTCGTCTTGAGAGGTTGGTCGTTTCTTCCAGTGGTGACAATGTTGATCGGTTCATAGCAGGATTTTTCTTGCTGTCAGTGTATATGCGGGGTCGTTATTCCGACACACAGAACATGTGCAATATTTTCGAGGATCGCCCCAGTCCTGATCCCACTGGTCTTGGAGGATATCTGCAAGCCGATGTGGCTAGGTCTAAGACTGCTTATACGACGGAACGAAAGACTCAGTTGCTACCCATGGTGGCACCCAGGCATGGATTGTCAGATGAGGATTGGTTCACTGCTTGGTCACAGGTCCGCAAGGATCTTAAGGTGCCCATTGGTGAGGGCAAGCCCGTGCTCCCGGCAATTTTGACGACAGGTCATTGGGCTGGTCACCCGCCTAGTGCGTCGGTGGCGGCAGGCTGGCTCCGCAGCCTCCTTAGGAAGTGCGGGTTCTCCGAGCTGCAATGTTCTCGAGTCGGCACGCATTCATGCAAAGCCACTTGTTTGTCGTGGTGTGCCCGATTCGGAATCGATAGCTACGATCAGAGAGTCCTCGGATTCCACACGGCTCCAGGCGACAGGAGCGCTCAGGTATACAGCAGAGATGCCGTGTCTTCCTCAGTCCGTGTCTTAGAGGGCGTGCTGTCGCGGATAAGGAAGCTGGAGTTCGCTCCAGACAACACACGGTCGGGATATTTTCCTACTGTGGACGATGTTGATGCTGGTTATGACGTTGAGGGATCGGGCTCAGAGGCTTCGCTTGATGAGGAGGAGGACGAAGCCGATTGTGAGCAGTTGGAGATAGC